AACTCACTCAACTCACTCAACTCACTCAACTCACTCACCTCACTCAACTCACTCACCTCACTCACCTCACTCACCTCACTCACCTCACTCACCTCACTCACCTCACTCACCTCACTCACCTCACTCACTCCACTCCACTCCACTCCACTCCACTCCCTCCCTCCCTCCCTCGCTCGCTCAGTCCCTCACTCACTCACTCACTCACTCACTGTCACTCGCGTGGCAGGCGCAGTACAGATAGCTTCCTGGCAGGCGCAGTACATAGAGCTTCCTGGCTGCCTTTCAGTGGCAGGCGCAGTACACAGAGCCTCCTGGAGGAGCTGCGGCGCGCGTGGCCGCCGCTGGGCCGCGGCTGCCTTTCTCGTGGCAGGCGCAGTACATATAGAGCCTGCAGGCGCAGCTGCGGCGCGCGTGGCCGCCGTCTGGCCTCGGCTGCCTTTCGTGTGGCAGGCGCAGTACACAGAGCCTCCTGGAGGAGCTGCGCCTCACATCATCTTTCAGACACCATCCTTGACACACCAACTTTGACACACCATCTTTCACACACACAACTTTGTCACACACCATCTTTCACACACCATCAACACCATCTTTCACACACCATCTTTGACACACCATCTTTCACACACACAACTTTGTCACACACCATCTTGCACACACCACTTTGTCACACACTATTTTTCACACACCGCTTTGTCAATCACCATCTTTCACACACCATCTTTCACACACTAGCTTTCACACACCGCTTTGTCACACACCACCTTTCACATCACTTTTGCACACACCATCTTTCACACACCACTTTGTCACACACCATCTTTCACACACCATCTGTGACACACCATCTTTCACACACAACTTTGTCACACACCATCTTTGACACCACATCTTTGACACACACCATCTTTCACACACACACACACACCATCTTTCACACACCATCTTTGACACACCATCTTTCACACACAACTTTGTCACACACCATCTTTCACCACACGATCTTTGTCACACACCATCTTTCACCCTACCATCTTTCACGCAGACAACTTTATCACACACCATCTTTCCTCCACCTCTTCCTTTGTCTTTCCTTCCTTCCCCGTCCCCGCAACAACATTTCTTGCTCATTATTGGAAGAAATTGACTTGTGGGGTTATCCGGTCCTTTTATTTTTGCATGGGGATGGTGTGGAATACCAAAACCGTGATTCCATGATGGTGTGGTCATGGGGGTGCATGTTGGGTGACCAATCCAGCTTGCAAAAGCATATGCTCCTAGCTGCATCCCCAAATCATGCACCACTAAGGAGACATGGCCATCCATCTGGAAAGTTTTGAGATGGTCATTTGATGCTCTTGGAAAAGGGCTGCACCCAACACATGACTCTGATGGCAAACCCTTGGAAAAGGGCAGCCCCCTGTTTGGAAAAGCAGGGAAGCCTCTTCACCCCAATGGCTACAGAGCATATGTGTTTGCAGTGCAGGGGGACCATGAGTTCTACAGCAACCATTTGGGATTGCCCCATTGGGCATCCCATTACCCATGTTGGGAATGTGCTGGAGAGAACTTTGCTGACTGTGATCTCAGCCTGAGTGTCAAAGAGCTGGACTTGGAAAAGGCCAGCTTTGAAACTTGGACACACCAGGAGCATTTGGAGGATCCATGGTCAGATTACCCCATCTTCTCACTGCCCCATGTCAGTGCAAAGAATGTGAGGGGTGATCCCATGCATATCTTATTCTGTAAAGGATTATACTCCCACCTTCTTGGAGGTATATTGCATTATGCCTGTTGGTGGGAGGGGCCTGGAAAGGTCTGTCAGGAAAAGCATTGGAAAAGGCTTGGATTCATCTTTGATGAAATCCAAGAAGAGTGCAGGTCTCAAAACCTGTCCAATAGATTGGCCAACTTAAGGTTGGCCATGTTTACAGATGCAGGCAAGCCATGGGCTTCCAAAGCATCTTTAGACATTAAAGCTGGAGAGGCCAAGCACCTCCTACCAGCAATTGTGCCAGTCTTGGCAAAGCTCTTTGGCCCAACTATGCATGTGAGGGAGGAAGAAAGAAAAATGATCTCTGCAGCCACCAGTTTGGAAAAGCTGGTGGCTTTGTGGGATGAAGCAGGGACATTTTTATCTCCTTCGCAATTTGCCAAATGCTTGGCTCTTGGAAAAGAGTTTCTGCTGGCATACAAATGGTTGAATTCCTGGTCCTTGGAAAATGGTAGAAATTCATTTGCCATTGTTGCCAAACACCACACCTTCATACATTTGCTTCTGAATTCCAAATTCATGAACCCCAGAAGGCAGTGGTGCTTCAGAAGGGAGGATTTTGTGGGACATGGGAGCAAGGTGGCTCAATCCATTAGCTTTGGTGTATCTTCAACTAAGATCAGCACTAAGCTTTGTCCCAAGTATCGCATTTTCTTCCACCTCTTGTTGACAAGAGGCTTGGAAAAGCCTCTTTGGGATGAAGAAGATGAAATCTTCTAGAAAGCATTGGCAAAGGCACAGCTGTGGAAAAGGCACACAAGCTTTGAAAAGGCACAGCTTTGGAAAAGGCTCACAAGGGTATGGAAAAGGCACAGGAGCTTTGGAAAAGGCACAGGAGCTTTGGAAAAGGCACAGGAGCTTTGGAAAAGGCACAGGAGCTTTGGAAAAGGCACAGGAGCTTTGGAAAAGGCACAGGAGCTTTGGAAAAGGCAAAGGAGCTTTGGAAAAGGCTGGCTTTGGAAAAGGCACAGGAGCTTTGGAAAAGGCTGGCTTTGGAAACGGCACAGGAGCTTTGGAAAAGGCACAGGAGCTTTAGAAAAAGCAGAGGAGCTTTGGAAAAGGCTCACAAGGCTTTGGAAAAGGCACAGGAGTTGTGGAAAAGGCTCATTGGAAAAGGCACAGGAATTTTGGAAAAGGCTCACAAGGCTTTGGAAAAAGCAACAAAATTCACAAGGCTTTGGAGAAAGCCCAATGTGTAGGCTCTAGGAACATGATTTCACTCTTAGCAAGAAACAAAACTCACCAGTTTTGCTTGGAAAAATGCTTGGCTCCTGCTTCTGAAATCTTGATATCTCACTTGAAATCTTGATTCCAAAATGATCATTTTTCACATTGAAATATTGATCTTCAAAATCAATATCTGATGTTGATTTTTGAGCCTTAAATATCAATATATAGATCCTAATCAATATGGGATGCTCAGGGCAGCATCTGATCCTGGTTGTAGATAGCTTGCGAGGCACTCAGCTTCACAGCTGCGATCTCTTGTGAAGCTTGAGATTGGGCCTGAGTAACTTCCTTAGTGGCTCTAGATTGAGCTTCCTCCAAGGCTCTCCTAGTTTGGTTCTCTAACTGCTGGACGTGCATTTCTGCACTCACCTGAGTTTCCCGAATAACACGTTCTGCCTCAGTACGTGTTTGGTATATGCCTCAGTTTGAGCATGATGTGCCTCAGACTGAGCTTGTAACACAGCACCAGCAGCTTGATTCACCAATTCGGGGTCAGGAGATTGAGAAACCCAAACTTGATTGACTTGTTGATAACTCACAGAACTGGTTCCCTGATCTTGAAAGTCCATTTCATCATCCCCAACAGATTCCCCAATAGGATTACCAACCCTAGTTCTACTGGCCGATTGCGCAAGCGCAGAGCTGGGCTGTTCCTTTGAGGGTTTGATTTGGGACCTTCGAACAGACCTCACAGAAGATGATCGTGAGCTATCTGCAATTTCATGGGCAAAACCCGGGTTTCCTCTGACAACCATCTGTTCATTACCACTAGAAGAGCTTGACAAATTAAGTGAGCTCGAAGTTCCTGACTGCATTGTCGCTCGAAGGTGCAATCAAGGTTCAATCGTAAGAATGATGAGGAGGTATACGCCCCACAACCCAGCAGTGAA